CGCTAGTCTGAATAAAAATTGCTTATGCTGTGGGAAACGAAGGGTAACAGAAGAAACACCTTTTGTTTACACACACACATGTTTATAATCTGAAATCTCCGTTTCTCTCAGTGGGTCTGGGCTGGGAGTCGGAGTCAACGCAAATGAGAGATTTTTCTTCCAGATTTAGCCACGGTTAAGGCGAAGAGAGAAGGGAAGCGGGCGCACCTCGGACGGGGCGCCCCGGCCCCGTCCGCCGCGGCAGCGGGGGCTGAGGGGCCGAAGAGGAGATGCCGGGGGAGCCAAGCGCTCCCCCTCTCCCTCCTAGCGGCAGAGCGAGCGACAAACTTGCCCCACGCCACACCAGGTTTGCCAGGGCCGGGGCCGGGAGGGGCTGGGGAAGGGGACGGGGCGTCGCGAGAGCGCGCAGCAATGCGCACGGGGCCGCGCAGCCGGGAGCTGCTCCGCGGCTCTGCCAGGGCCGCCCGCGGCAAACGCCGCCGCTTTCCTGGGCAGGGACGGGGCAGGGGCAGGGACTCTTCCGCCCTGTAGGGCTCCACGCGTCTCCCCGGGGGCAGCTTCGCGGGTGGTACCCAAACCTTCTGACAGAATCTATCTATCTATCTATCTATCTATCTATCTATCTATCTATCTATCTATCTATCCATCTATCTATCTATCCATTTATTTTTAATGAAACCCACTGTCCCTGAGCGAGGGGCGGCCTGTTGAGGATGACCGGCTTCTTTGAGCTGCGTAGGACCGAGCGGAGTTAAAGGTTGTGGGGGAGAGGCTGGAAGGCAAATTTTAATATTAATAGTTCTGGTGGCGAGAAAGAGAGACAGACGGAGGCTGCTGCTCTGGGCAGAGTCCCCTCGACAGCGATGATGGATGACCCCTCGCAGCCCAACAGCTCCGCCCCTCCGTCCCTCTCGGTGTCAGAGCCCTTCTACGTGCAGCTTTAGGAATAAAATAAATAAACACACTCGGCCCCTTCCTCGCATCGATTTATGGATCATTATGAATCAATTACTGCTTTCAATATTTCAGAATTTGCTTATATATAAAGGGAGTCTGCGGTCGGAAAGAAGCATTAATCTTAGCCTTAGAAATGCAGAACCTTCCTGTATGGCCCGACGACTACAAAAAAAAAAAAAAAAAAAAAAAAAAAAGGTTTTTAACCATTTTCCGGCGGCTGCAGCGCTGGGGAGGCGGTAGCTGCTGTGACTGCGCATCTCTGCGAGCGATTTTCAAAGCGTTGTGCGTAGGGAATAAGCGATGCCCGAGACTTCGTGATTTAACTCGATAGGAAAAGAGGAAAAAAGAAGAAGCTGCGAGCCCCATGCCTTTCCCCCGGCAAATACCCAGTGCAGTGCAGTGTCCTGAGAGCGAGCGGGGCCGGGCTGCGCCGAGGGCAGAGCGCGGAGCGGAGCGGAGCTGCTGCGCGCTGTGGGAAGGTGGTGGCGGGGACAGGAGGGTGCGGTGTTGGACGCCTCTCGCTTTTTCTGTATTCTCCCATTTGCAGCAGTGTTTGAGGACCTTGAGGTGTTTCTATGGCTACCTTGTGTATGTGGGAGGGTCACATGTGGGGGTGCCCAAGAGAAAAGGCAGCTCTTGGGCGATCATTTATCAATGTCACCCACATAATGATTCTCTCTGCAGCCTGCTATTGATGAGGATAATTACATTAGCTCAGAGTGACTGATCAATGAAAAACCACCAAACAAAAACTTCTTTACTCTCCTATAATACCAAAAACCGATACAGAAATAAGATAGAAGGCGAGGGTGGGATTTCCCTTTCCTTTCCCTTTAGCAACGATCTTTCTCTCTTTCTTTCTTTCTTTCTTTCTTTCTCTCTCTCTTTCTCTCTTTCTCTCTTTCTCTCTTTCTCTCTTTCTCTCTTTCTCTCTTTCTCTCCTTCTCTCCTTCTCTCTTTCTCTCTTTCTCTCTTTCTCTCTTTCTCTCTTCTCTCTCTCTCTCTCTCTCTCTCTCTTTCTTTCTTTCTTTCTTTCTTTCTTTCTTTCTTTCTTTCTTTCTTTCTTTCTTTCTTTCTTTCTTTCTTTCTTTCTTTCTTTCTTTCTTTCTTTCTTTCTTTCTTTCTTTCTTTCTTTCTTTCTTTCTTTCTTTCTTTCTTTCTTTCTTTCTTTCTTTCTTTCTTTCTTTCTTTCTTTCTCGGACAAGGGAAGGGAAGGAGAATTTACTCGTTGGTTTACTTTCTAAAAGAGGCCCCCATTTTCTGATAAGTATTTCCTCAATCCCTATCCGTCGTTCTTCACCTAGTAAAGACAAACTGTTATTTAGAGCACGATCTGCTGCTCCTCTTCCGGACCCAACCTCTGCTGTCCCCCTGCGCAGGGCAGTGCGGTGTTCTGGGCTACACAGAGGGAGAGGGAATGCAGATAACTTTTGTCTCACGGTCACAGCCGCCCATTTGGCAGGTTTTCTTTGGTTTTATCACTTCATAAAGTAGGTCTATTAAAGATGGAATGTTGCCTCCCTGAGATGCTGCTATATCGGTGAAAGTTTGCAATTAAATTACTGTTGCGTTCTTTCCAGAGTTAAAAATCAATGTTTTCTCAATTAAAGGGAATGTTAATGCTGTTCCTTGGCAGTTGTTAAGGATGCCGTAAATTTTATGATGCTGCCTCCCAGCCCCAAGCCCGGGCAGCGGACAGGTTGTGTTCGCGTTGGTTGGGATTGTTGCTGGTTTTGATTTTTTCTGTGAAGGGCCTTCTTCGGAAAACTCGTTTTTGAGTAACGAACTCGATATGCAGAGGGGCAGGGAAAACCGGAGCTGCTCTCCTGTCCCCCCATTGAGCGAAATCCCGCTTTTGGGAGAGGACTCTGCCTCCTCGGGGCTCCGCAGGGCGGCGGTGCAGTGGCCATACGGGGCACAGAGAAACGCTTCTGTTGTGGGGATAGGGCATGTTCTGGGGGTGTCCGCGGAGCCGAAAGGACTGGGGCACAGAGCTGTGTGCCAGGGAGGTGCGGAGCGCTGCTGGGGATCGTGTCTGGCTCTGGGAGATCTTCACAGCTCCTTCACTGCAATTTAGCGTGTGGAAATCAACGGGAGAGGGAATCAGAGGGTTTTTTCTCTTTTTATTTTTATTTTTTATTTTTGCCAAAACTTGTTGTCCATACACACTACGGTCCGGTGACACTCACTGGAGCTCAGTTCGGACCCATTTGCAGGGGCTCGGTTCTTGGAGGAGGATCTCCCAGAATCATGAGATCCGAAACAGGCCCTCACCCGAAGCGTGGTTAAAATCCCCAAAATCAGCCCCACGAACAAGCGGTGCAAACTCATTTGATTAAAGCGACCATCAGTTTCTTCGAGATTAGGAAGGGAGAAGGCACGGAGCGGGGAGTATTTATTATTTATGCCGTAGTCCGCGGCCAACACTCGGAAGGGAGATTACAGAGGGTGTTTGAAAGGGGGAGAGGGGAACAGAGCTCGGTACTCTGGAGCCCCTTCGTTCGGGTCCCCTGAGAAGCCCCCTTCGGTGGGGAACAGCCCCGCGCCCCGCACCCCGAACCTGCACTCGGCTCCGCCTGAGCCCGGGGCGGGCACTGGGGCGGCGGTCGGCGGTCCCCACCAGGAGCGCGGGCAGCAAACAAAGCCCTCGGCTGTCGGGGCCCCTCCGAGAGAGGGCTGGGGCAGGGGCGAGCAGCCAGGGGCTTCATTTTCCTACGGATCCTCTTCGCTAGGGTGGAAACGTTTCAGAATCTATGAACCCCGAGTGGACAAATCCCCGTTATTAACACGGGACATGGACGAGTGGCAAAAAAACTGAATGGGAACCGCGCGGCAGCTTTGGGAGAAACTAACGATGTGCTCCAGCTCTTGCCATTGCGGGAAGGAGCGGGGGGGAACCCCTCTGATTAATAACTAGCAGGGTAATGTTGAGGGCTTTTTCTGCCCGATTGCCTTTTTGAATTAGAGCCGATTTCTTCACACTTCAATAGGGCCTGTCTCTTTTAAAATGACTGACAGATTTGTTTCTCCTTTTTTTCTCTCCCTGAGACTTAATGATGTAAATTTTCTAATTAGTTAAATCACGTTGCTTAAAGGCCTTAATATTTACCGGGCCAGGACTGATAGTCGCGTTCGGATCTCTCGAAATAAGAGGAGAAATAACGTTTGGCTTTTTGCAGAGGGAGGGGGCCGAGAGGGAGGGCGGAGAGGGCTGGGGAAATACAGCGCAAAATAAGAGCTAAAGTTCAGCCGGGAGCTTCTTCCCTCCCCCCGCCTCAGAACCCGCTTTTATTTTTCAATCAGCTAAGATTTAATTAGGAGCCCCCGGGCCGGACGATCTGATATTTTCTCATTAGTTTCCCATCAGTAATCTTGAGTGTTAGATTGGCTTAAAGGTTGTCAACATTTGACCAATTTTATTTAAGGCAAAGAAATCGCGCATTATAGCTCCGGGACCTGAGATCCGAAAATAAATCCTGCCCGGATCAGCGGAACTAACAGGCGAAAAAAATGTTGACAATTCATCGTTGTATTTAATAAGTTGCATAATGTACAGTACACAGAGAGGGAAGCGAAGGTCTATCCGCGCAGCCAACTGCGCGCAAAAGGCATCCGCGGGGCAAGCACCTCACCGGGGAGAGGCCCTCGGGGCGGGCTGCTAGCACCGGGAACACGGAGGGGGAACCGACCCGGGGCTGGGACTCGGAGCCGGGATGCTTGAGGACGTGTGCGGTGCTTGCGCGGTGCTCGCGCACGTGCGGGAGCGCGGAGGCGGTGGGCAAGGCGCGGGCTGCCAGGCGCAACGCTGGAGCGCCCCCTGCTGGCCTCTAAGCCGCTGCGCCGCCGTGAGGAGCGAAGCCGCGTTCGGCTGCTGCGGGACGGGAGGGTTGTGCGCGGACTGCTAACCCACAAGTCCTTTTTTTTTGTTTGTTTTAGTTTTTTTCCCTTCTCTCTTTTTTTCCCCTCCTATTCCTATTTTAATTATTTTATTATTTAATTATTGTATTTCCTTTCTACATTTTTTTTTTCCCATTATCGCCACTATTTCTATTTTAGACAGCCCAAATCCTCCGAGAACGGAGACAAAATAGCTCCCGCGAGTCCTTCCACTCATTCTGAGGGGCTCAGCAATCACAAACTTCCCCAGGACGTCCTATCCCGCATGGAGAACAAAAACAGTCCTTATCAAGGGCTCTAAAAAGAGCCGGACACGGTGCCGACAATTTATGGGGAAAGCCTAGGATTTTCTGTTTATTGAAAACACAACAGAAGGGGTGAAAGCAGCTGATCCGATCCGCTGTGAGATTTCATCATCCCGTGGCAGCTCGGGGAAGCCAGGCCCGACGCCCCCGGACCGGACCAGGAGGACTTCACCTATCGGTTGGAGGGGATGGGTCGAGAGCCGAAAAACAAACAAACAAACAAACAAACAAAAACCCCAAAAAACCCACCACCATAAGATGGGGCTCGATTAAAGAGGCAGCAGAGCCTCTTTGTGCTGTGAGATGCTACAGGTAAACATTTCTATCTGGCAGGATTGTTTTACCAGTTAAAATATAGAAATAAAATCAAAGCATCACCATCAAACCTGGTTCAGGTCTGTGCCGGCTTCTGTCAAGGCGACGCCTATGGAAGCTGGGGCTCGCTGCATCGAGGCAGGAGGTTCTCGAATATATTTTCTTTTTAAAAGGTGTAGGGAATGGGGGAGGGTGGCAGAGAATATTTCTCAGAACACCGGGAGATACCTTTCTTGAAACAAAGGCAAAGGGGAATCATCTCAATTGCAAATCCGTCAGGCAGAGAGCAAATAACAATATTTATAGGAAGGCGTTCGAAAATACCGTGAGCTTAAATAACAGCAGCGAACGCTATCTGCAGTTGCTACAGAGCAGCTTAATAAAAAATTAGCCTCACTGACAGTCTTGTCAACATCTTAAGTAAATTATCATAGCGATGGTCTTTGGAGAAGAGAACCCACACTCCTCGCTAAAACACCTCCTATCATTAATCTTAAACCACTCGAAGATTATGATGGAAAGAATGGGATCAGTAACCATTATCATCTCCAATTGCTGTTAAAAACTCCGCTGTTTATTTTTGCAACCAAAGCAAATGTAACTAGGAAATGCAGAAAAGGGAAGAAAGGCAAACACTGAGAGGCAGAACAATTGAGGCGAATCCTGTTGCAATCTCGATGATAAACACATGGAAAAGGCTGTGACTGCTCTGCGGATTGCTGGAATTTGGGGAGACATTAAGAAAATAAACACACCGATGGCTCCGCACCAGCGGTACATGCAGTGAAAGGTAACTCCATAACATTAATTGCATTTTCCTAAATATTCAGTGTTGGCCTTTATCTACATCGATCATTTGACAGAGATCGAAACTATTAAAAGAGTGCTCACACCTTTCACTGTCCATATCCGAAAAGAAATTCATTTCTAGCCTTTTTCTAATTTTTTTCCTTGAGATTTCTATGTGCACTCTGTGTCGTTGCCACAATAGTCAGAATAAAGTCCATGGCGTAATTTTAATAAGGCTCTGACATACTCTAAACGTTGGCTCAAGGTGAAATCTTTTCAGAAGAGATCTGTGGATTTTATTGTAGTGTTTCCTCTTACAGCATCGCCCCTCTTTGAAATGATTTTTTTACAGCAGAAAAAATACTATATGTATTTCTGTTAAACTAATTCCAGGATTTGGCGGCAGAGAAGGCAGAATCTGCTGCTTTAGGGGCACTGGACCTGAAAAGCTATCGACGGTGCTTTACACCTTCAATGACTCCGCAAATCGATGTGAGCCGGGCACACGCCTGAATCCAATCAGACTCGGGTTTTTTGAAGGTATTCCTCGAAATGCCAAAGTTTACACGAAGCCTTTAAGCAGAGCTGTGCACCCCGGCCGGCCCTCCTCCTTCCCTCCTCCCTGGCAATAAAAAGAAGAGGCGGCATCAGGACAGGGCGACGAGAGCTAAAATCAACCCCACCATTATTTTCTCCCGACAGAACCTCATCTTCCGCGGCGCTTCATTCCAGCATCCCCGCTCGGGGCTGCCGCTCCCCTCCGCAGAGCACTGCGCGAGCACTGCGCGGTGCGCAGGTAGCGCGGCGGGAGCCGCAGCCGGAGCGGCGCTGCCCGCTCAGCCTCCGCCGTGGCCCCGCAGTGACCCCGGCCCGAGGCTGCGGGAGGTGAGAGGTGACGCCTCGAGCCGGCGCAGACCTGGCCCTTTTAAAGCCACAGCTAATCAGTCCTTCAGTAAATTAAAATCTAGGAACCGGAGGGGAAGCAATTTCGTTGTAAAGAATTACGGGGCGCGCACCGGGAACGAAAGAGCACCGAGGGGATTACGCTGCTGTCCGCGGCGGAGGGGTTTGTGGCAGGGGAGAGGCTGCGCTGAGATGGCCTGAGAAAAACCGTGCGCGTCCTACAGCCGCGGCGGGTCCGCACGGTGCGGAGTCCAACGCGCCCGGCCCAATAACACTCTGTCTCGGGTAGTTGGGAAACTTCAGCCCCATAAACTGCAAGGCGGGATGGGGTCCCGGGACGCCGGGCTGCCACCCAGCCAAAGGCTCGGCGCTGCGTTGCAGCACGGGGAGAAAGTAAAGTGGAACAAATGATCAATTTTCCCGTCAATTAATTTGTCCTCAGTTTCAAGTTTCTCTTTAATCTCTCTAAGAAATAAAGGGATCGCTGCTGAACGGTGCGTACGTGAGTGCTGGTGCGTCCGTGTGCACGTACACGAGCGGGGAGCGAGCAAACCGGGTAGCCCTCAGACTGCTGGGAATGGGTAGAGGTCAATTGCTCCTCTTCAATTAGGAAAGTTCCCCATTGTCTTGGCACCCCGTACTTGTTAATAACTGCGCAGAGTTAGGAGAAGAGGAATAAATATCTGCTGCGAGTAATCTGCTGTAATGCAATTATTTTACTGGATTAACGTGCAGTGGCAGTGCAACACGGCCACGAGTGAGATGCAAAGGGAAAAATAAAAAATAAAGCCTGAGGGAGGAATATTAGTATTTCGCGACATAGATGCTTCAGTGGATTGTGGTGAGGAGCACCGAGGTCTGATAACAGCTCTCTGTTCTACCCAGATTACACAGAAACTTTTCTTTCCCATGAGCTCCGGGCAGCAAAACGCTGTTTGAGGAGACCGCGAGCCGCTTTCCGGGCTGCCGCTATAATTAATTTAGGTGTGGCCATCCCAGATCCGAGGGAGAAGGAAATGATTGATGCCGCCAGAACCCCCTTCCCTTACGCAGCCCCGAGCAGCTCCCGACGCAGGTAAGCTGCCGCGTCAAGCTATTTTTAACTGAACAAAAGACGGAGCAAACAGCTGACGTCAGGGAGCAGCTTCCCGGGCCGGGGGGGAGTGGGGAGACGACGACAGGACGGGACGGGACGGGACGGTGCGAGCGGCAGCGCTGGGGGGGGCAGAGCGGGGCTGCGGGCTGCGGGCCCCGAACCCAGTCCCGTTCCCCCCGACGCCGTAATCCCCGGGGGGCGTCGAGGTACGGATACGGCGCTGCCTGACCAGGGGTGCTTGCCCGTGGCATTGCCCTGCGAGGCGGCGAGCACAGAGAGGGGAGGGGGGAAGAGGAAGAAGAAGGGGAGAGAGAGATCACCGAGCCAGGGGCCCTCTCCCGGCTTCGCGTGATGCCCGAGAGCTGCCGCCTGCACGGAGCCCGCAGCCCCTGCTGCCCGTCAGCTCCTCCGCGCCCTCCCCTCCCCTCCAGCCCCGACCCCCTCCCCGCTACAGTCACGGAGCCGCGATTCATGCGGCCGATTTAGTTAATATAAATAAACCCACAAAGATTCATTGGCATCGACCAGCAGGTTTATTAAGGGCATCGTTACAGTGGCCGTTCCAGCCCCTGCACGGCCCGGGGGAGGGGAGGGGGGGGGGAGGGCACAGCTTCTCACAGCCACGGTCACCCCCCGGCACCTCGGACCTCCCCTGCGGGGGGAGCAGTGCTGGAAGCTGCTGTTGTCAGTGCTGATTGTTAACCCAAATAATAATAATAATAAAAAGAAATCGTTACAGCTGTGTGCTGGCGGAATATGGCGATTACTATTATTGCCAATCACGATTAGAAATAATTATCCAGAGAGCATGAAGGGCTCAGCTGCCAAGGTGTTTTGAATAATCGCTTTGGAATGAACAGCACATCAGGTTCACACACAGGGATGGCTGCACAATTCCAGGTGTGTCTCTGAGGGACACCTTACACCAGTGGGCACTAGCATACCTGTGGAGCTTAATTCTATCCCCCACTGCAGGATCTGGATGCCTGCCCCACTCCTGAGGGTGTGAGAGGCCAAGCACCGAGGGCTGGGCTCCCTCGATCTTCAGTAACAGCAAGGTTAGCAGATTAGAGGGTAATGTGGTCACAGTTGAACCCCACTTGCTCCATTTACATCCCACAGGCCACCTCATTTTGAGTATTTGAAGTGCTGTGTAACCAGGGGGAGGTCACAGGTGATGGACAAGTTCAACATACTTAGCTCAATTACCCAAGTTTCATTTCAAAATAGTGTTCAATTTGGTCTTCCTGCCTCTCTCCAAATTATCTTAGAAGAGGAAAATAGATAAATAAATAAATAAATAAATCAAATGAAAACAGACAATTTAAGCCAAATCCTGTACACCATTATTTATATGCAAAATGATTTTTGTGATATATGCTCCCATTAATGGTTCTGGGATGCCAGATCTTTCCAAGTGGATTTACAAACCTAGCCATCAAATTATTTCAAAGGCAAAGCCTATTAGGGACAAAAATAATTATGAACTTCCAGAAGCTTTGTAAAAAATAAGTTTCTGAATGTTGTCTCTTTAAATTTTACTTAAGTTTTGTTTTTAATTTAAGCCTGGAGGCACAGCAGAGAGATACGCAGCATCTAATAAGGAGTCTGGGAAATAATGCACCTTAATCTGGTGCTGAGCTATTTCTCCATAAAATATAGATAAGGAATCAATTCATAAGCACAAATATCTGCTAGGACCAAGTTTTAACATAACATTTCACATGAGCATTGTTACATGCATTATTAAAGAGATAACAAAATCACTTCAAATCAAGTCCCATACAGTCACATCTGGAAATGCTCTTTTCTGCCTAATTTTCTTTTTTTTTTTTTTTCCTCTGAAAAAAAGTTAGAAGAAAAACTCGTCTGTCCCCTTATATATTAACTGTTACCATCAGCTTTTAATCAGCAACATGTATCGTTACATTTACAGAATCCCTTCCACGCTGCCTCTTTTGGATAACAGTAACATGAAGATAGTATCTGCATTCATTTACAGAATCTGATGGTAAAACCAAAACCACACACAACTAGCATATACACTGCTTTATGCACAGACAGGCATGTAGATACATAGACACAACACACAGACATGGAAACAAGTCCTGGCCATGTGTTGGAAAACGTAATAGAAAGTATCTGTGCAGTTAACCAGACCATAAGTCAGACACCATCAGATAAGAAGGGGCTGAGGGAAAATTAGTTTAAAATCAGACACAGCTAATTTCTGCAGGTACTGGAACCTCAGCAAGCTTTGCCCTAAGATGTTTAATCACTGTCAATTTTAAAGGGAGCTCTCTGGGATTTGAGTCAAATAAAGTATTACCTCTAAGCCACGAAGGGTTAACGAACTGCCACAAGTTGCAAGCAGTTCACGCAGTTGGGTTGATTGGTTTGTTCTATTGGTTTGTCATTGTTGTTATTTTTTTGTTAATGAAATTATATTCTGAGGGCAAAGATAAAGGATGTCCCTAAGATATGCTGGCTGTTATTGCTGTTGTTTTGATTTTCTATTTGTCCTCAATGGAAAGATGAGCAAAATATTTTCCAAACAGGAACACTGAAGGTTGTTTAGGAAAAAGCAAAATAAAAGTCAAAAAAATAAACAACAACAAAACAAAAAACCCCAACCCACCACAGTCAGTGCTGTTTTGTAAATACTCTGGAGTTTTCTGAACAACTCTGATGTACTTACATCCCTATCACAACTATTTTCTTTTTACTGTTGAAAGTGGATAGTCAAGCAAAATTGATGCTTTACATATATCCTGTCTCAATTTGTAATACACTATTCTCTGTAAAGAGATAATTTGAAAAAAAAATGCAAAAAAGAATAAGCTATACCACTGACAACAATTTACTTAAATTCACAAACCTTGAAATTGATGCATCTCCTATCAATCATAGTCAGAAGCCACAGTAAAACGCATCCAACATTTGTATATCAAAAGTAAGACTAAAAAAATACCCCGTTTTGTTCAATTTAAATGTCCTTCAACATGTTGTGATTTTGTACTCTGATATTACTGGGAGATTTTCACTACAGGTTACTTTGTACTGTCAAACGTGTGCAAGAGACTAACCCTGCAAAATTAAAGTGTGTGCCATTACACAGCACAGATGTTTGTTCTCACTCGGTTACTGACAATGAAATACTTATTAAATAATAATAAGGAGATATCGACTTCCCTATTCTGTCGATATGAAGATCTGTTGATCTGTGAGGTTAATATTGATGAGGCAGTGTGAGGTAAATGTTTCATCAGGAGGAGAAATAAATCCCAACGCTAGCACAGAAAAACAAACAAACAAACAAACTATGCATGTATGTAGAAATGAATCCTTTTTGTACTTATTAGGTATGGGAACACCAGTTCAGCCTATGAGCTAATGCTGAAGGAGATCCTTGACACCACTTTCGAGAAACGTGTTCCCAAAAGTGTCTATCATAGGTATTTAATACTAAGCTTAAGTGATGTCATGCACTTAGAGCCTTTAGTCATGCTGTGTGTTCTGTTCTGAATGGCACATTTCCTTTGAGTGTTACTGTATGGTTCCACATACACCCTCAATATTTTTCATTTTAAGGAGATTTCTGTTTGAGTTGGAGAAACGTCTTTTTTTTTAATACGATGAACTCTCTGTCAAAATATTGTTTATATTTGTTGTCTCATCAGAACATCTGTGAAAGTTCCCTCTCTTTACCCTCTGCCACAGAAGACAATAGTACACAGCTTCAAACAATGCAAGAGCCATTTAACTTGATGGGTCTGGCAGAAGCAGGCACTTTCTCATTTATTATTATCTTCAGATTTTCCTTCATTCTGTTTAAGCTCGTAGCTGCTGTTTTATAAGAATATTCCACCAGTCAGATGGGTCTTGGATTTCAATAGCGTTATTTTGGTATACTATTTTTAATGAATAACATATACACGTGTAACAGTCTGTATAACTTGCTTCTGCATTTTATTAAAAAGATATGACCCTAACTTGTAAGACAGAGTCAATACACTTTTGGGTAAAAGTGCCAAATGATGTAAATTTCAATTTTCCCCTTTTTGATTTTTACTTATGGCCTTGATGCTGAGCAACTTTCCCTGTACTGTTGTTGCTTGCAAAGGGAGGGCTCAGTCACTCTGATCCAAAAATCACTTTAGCTGCCCTGCTGGGCTATCTTGGTCCGACTCATGGGGTGGGAGAGCCTTTTGTACAGCAGCCTCTCTGCTGCCTGCCTGCAGCAGAAATGCTGTGGCCTGGCAGGGAAAGCAGGGCAGGCACACAGGGTTTTCTCTTGGTGAGATGGTGCAGGAAAATCACTTGACTGCTGTTTGTGCTTTTCCTAGAAAGGCTGGCAAACTGCTGTTCTATCCAGAGATCACTCAGGGGGCCAGATACTTTTTATTTTGTTGCTTGCACCACAGGAGAACTTTTATCTGAGAAAGGTAAAAAACATTCTTTTTTTTTTTTTTTTTGCCCTCATGCTTTCTTGTCCTTTTATCTTGAGAATCTTTTTTTCCCTACAATCTTCTGAAGTATCTCAAAATTTCTGCTTAAAAGGAATCAGATCTGGTTGGCTAATTTAAAAAAATTCCTACTAACAAACATTAGCTAATCCTTGTACTACACTCACAAGAAAAGACACAGTTAAAGCTTTTAAGTCAACTTGAGATTTTCATAAAGTTTGCTAATATTTTCGAAACTCTTTTGGGAGGTTTGGTGGCATGCCTTCTGCTGCCCTTGAGGCCCTGGGGCAAGGCTTTTCAAGGGGTTATAAAAACTAGACTGGGGACTTGTGCTCTAAAACTGATTTGCATGTATTTGTCTCAGTGCATTTACCTAAAACAATAATAGATTCTCAAATTTGGGAACAGAAAAATCCAGCAAAGAAGCTGAGTGCTTTTAGTAGTAATTACACTTGAGAAATATTATTGTGTGACACTGCTTGGGTACCCCTACAAGTGCAAGGTATGTTCTTTAATCATATTCACCTTAAGACACCAAGTTTATTTTCACTTCAATTTCAAGGCTGGGTATTCCTTACCTGAGTTTTCTACATAGCAATAAGCACAGCGATGGAACAATTGTTCTGCTAGCGGGTTAAGCTGAATAGGAGAAAAAATAACTAATAGAGTAATAACTAGGGGGCTCTCGTGTCCAGTTGTACACTTCACAAAATAGATTGCAAGAGAAGGAAAAGGCAGCAAACTGTGTAAACTGAGTACAGATAACTCCCATGCTGTGAAAACCCTTCTACCTTAAGAACACTAGCAATGAAAAGGTTACAAGAAAGGGGGTAATAAAAATATCAAGAGAAACGAAATAGAAATAGGTTTCTTTGCAAGTAGAGAGGCCTCTTTCTAATATGGTGGCCTTATACACAAGTACATTTGTCTTCCAGACCCTCTGCTGTTGATTAGAATTCTGATGCCACTGGAGGGGTTACGATTTTGTCGAGTTTCTGGATCTCAATTGCTCTGTCAAGGGGTCATTCTTTCTGGTAATAAGGTAGCTAGTGGCCCCTGGGAGAGAAGGAAAACAATTGACTCTTGAAAGCAGAAACATATACTGAAGTCTAGAGTAGATTTCTGGCAATGGACCAGGTCTTTTCTCATAGCATTTGTCATTGTAGTAATGAAAAAATTGTGGGTGTTCTACAGGTGGCCAAAAGAGGAAAACAGAGTACAACAACAACAGAAAAGTACTAGATGTAATTTATTTTGGAATTATGTTTAAGAGCAGGTGGTTTTTTGTTTGTCACACTGTTGGTTCACTTGTTAGAGATGTGGATCCCATTAGATAGAAATATGTTGCTTATTTTAAAGCAAATGATTATCAAATGACTAGACTTCAAAACATTTTTTTTGCTTTAATTTGAAATGAAGTCATTTGAGTTTGAAACATATGCCTTTGCTAAATGCAAAATATTTTGTTGCCAAAAACAGACAATTGCATTTTGAGTCCACTGCTTGCGAGCACTGTTGATCCTGGATGTCACTGACAATATAAGTCTTGGCAATAAATTGTTACAGAGGTCAGTAGTAAAGTTTCTCTTATTACCAGTAGGTATTTTAATTTAATTTTATTTTAAATTCTTATTCTGTCAAGTCAAAACGGTCTCGGCCACTGATTCATATTCAACTAGAACAAATGCTATATTGAATTTGATTGGTTTTAGAAGTAGTATTTCACTCTGTACAAACTGAAAAATAATTTATGCTGAGATCTGCATGTAAATAATTGCTGCATCTTAAAAACTAGTTTCATTATTTCACAGGCTATGTTACCAGGCTATTTTTGTTGTTGTTTTTGTAGTATAAGCATACAAAAAACACACGTGCATGCATGTGTATGTGCATTCTACCACACAAACATACCACTGCCAGTATAAGTAATTTGACATGTGATTTATATCATACTTGCAAGATTTTAAAGTGGATTTCAATTTTATTATGAACCCCAGAACTGTGGCTGTATACATGGATTCCCCAAATCCTGTATCTGAAGTATGGGATTGTAGCAGCTTGAGACTTCCTTAGTTGTCAACGGAGAAAGAAATGGTTGTCAATGGCATGCCCAGAGACACGCTTCTCTGAAGGTACTTGCCTTTCTCCACTGACTATAGAGCAAGCCCAGAGCAAATACATTCCTAATTTAGAATAAATGACTGATGTGGACTGCAAGGAATCCAGGCAGGAATGTGCAGACACACTGCTGTATCTGCTGCCATCACCTGCATGTTCTGGGCTGAACAAGATCTTTCCGTTTAGAATCTAAAATTCTTCACAGAAATAATAGTGTGTGAAGTTTTTCACAGAAGAAAATTTTGACTTTAGCTGTCAGGAAGCCAGACATCCAGTCCACACTGCCCGTCCTATTTTACTACAAAATCTACTCATTCAACTCATTTGTCTTAGAATTAGATGAAATAAGCTGAGGAGGAGGACTTCAAGGCAAAAGTTGGAGATAAATTGACAGGTGGGGGCACATTCATTACAGAACAAATATAGATACCTAAATTAGGAGAGGTGACCTTCTGATTAGCATGCTAGGTTCCTAGGTCATTTTAGACCGCTTAAAGTGAAAGAAATCAAATATTTGCTAATGGATTTGTGTAAAAACATGCAGAGATAAAGGCATTTGCAGATTTAGGGTAAAAAAGTAGTTCCACTCTTGCTGGTAAAAAAAAAAAAAAAAGACCACCTCATGCCTTATTGCATTAGGTAAAATGAGAAGAATAAAGAACGTCTTGAAAAAGCCTTAATCTCACACTATACACAGTATTGTACAACATGTGGAAGGAAGAAAGAAAGATGTTATTCCTAAAGTACTGTAGAAAAGGCTGGCTATAAAAATGAGTTTTCCTCATGCCCATATCCAGGCACAGGGAAACTGGAAATAGGTATTTCCACTTTCAACAGAGCTTCCCTCTTTCTTTCTCTCACATACATGCACGCACAAAATAGAGATAGTTTTGTATTACATTTCAATGTCCAAGAGTATGTCAGGCTTATCTTGTTTTCTTGTTTAGCTTGCTCAGGACATCTAATGGAAACTTATTTGCGTACAACTGTGTAGTATCATGTTTTACTCCACTGTGAAAGCAAATTTAGAAAAAGCTCTAGTTTAATTAATGTAACTAGCCTTCTTTCACTCTAAAGGTCTTTCCTCTGTTACCTAAACCAACTGTATAGTATGATGTTATACATATTAGAAGAGAGCTTTAGACCCAGGCAGATTATTGTAACTGGATGTTTGTACACATTCGCAAATACATTTGTAACTCAGCATCCTGCATATGAATGTTGTTTTCAGACCTTTGAATTTAGAGCATCTGTTGTTGAAGGAGATAAAAGTTTATTTGCTCATTAACAAAAAAATCTCAACAGGTAATACTGAAAAAAGTATCCTGCTGTCTACAGCAACACAGTAACAGAAAAAATGGAGTGCTGTAGTTAGACATAAGACAAACTAACTGGTGACATGCTCTATTGTGAACTAAGCTCCATCAAATTGTCAAGAGGAATTAGTTCGTAAGCAATGCTTAAGAACATAAGAATGTAAGACTGGAAGGCACAATCAGTGTCACAGATTTGTAACAGAAGAGAATTTGTTAAACAACATTCCCATATGATCCTAGAATTTTTTTTCCTCCTCAGTTTCTCTGAAACTCCCTGCTGGTGTGACCATAGGGTGAAATTCCATTTTTACTGCAAAGCTGGCACCCAGCATTTTTTGACTGTATGATCAAGAGGTACTGACCAGACACCAAAGCAATTTAATACCTGTACATACATCAGTTCACCCTGACTTACATCTTGGTTCTAGCTGTTGACTGACTGAGCAAAGAAAGATAGTCATTCTCCACCCTCTGAGCATCAATAAATGTATCAGAAAGAATAAAAATCCTTTCTGACTATTTCAGCTAATAAAAAAATCTCTTCTAATAGGATAAATACAATCCATATACAGCATAAATATACATTTGATGGATATGATTTAAGAATTGAGAATAAGAGCTGCTCTGCTGTTCTGAACTCTTACAATGGGGCTTTCAGGATTTCCAAACAGCTGGTGTCCAGATAATTTAGATATTTGCTGGCAGAGTGCATAGAGAAGTGTGGAGGAATCTACTGCAAAGGCCCAAGCAACTGAAGCCTGTGGTGATTCATCCAACCCACAAGGAAAGCAGCTGTTTTCAGCAGAATCTACAGCTTTTGGGTGGACTCACCGAGCCAGTATCCTTTCTTCTGCAGAGCTATTCAAGTGAGCAGAGTTACATATGGGATGAACTCGGCTCTTTAGGTGTGGGAGAAACTGTTTCCAGTACTGACATATGGATATTAGCACTCCTTTATGCATGGCTTACAGACAGGCTTTAGGAATGTTTACAAGGTGGGAAAGACAATGAAAGAACATGTAAAATCATTTCACCCTGATTCATCTTTGGAAAGGATTCCACATGCTGATCTCTCTTCCAGTTGGCTGCGTCTTCCAGAAGCCTTTCTTCCGATTCCGAACCTCTCATCCCTTCCACACCAAGGAATTTGGGCTCTGTCCAGTGGAAGCCTAGGAAGAACATACATATTTTCTCTATACTCCCACATGCTTCTAGTCTTGGGGGCTAATGATAACACTGCTGAAAACTGCACGTGAATTGAGAAAAAATTCTCAGGAGCTGGTATGAAACAGATCTCAGCAAATCCTTCCTTTATCTTTACGTATGTGAGCTTTGCCCCAGTTCTAGAAACTAAAGCTCTAATTTCTTTCCTGGCAGTTAAAAAATGGCAACTATATCCCAGCTGCAGAAGGACTGTAATGAAGTCAAGCCATCATTCGAGTCTCTCATTGGACACTGTGCCTATTCCTAAGGAAATAATGCACCTCACAAGTTCATTTAAATTAAAACAATGAACTGAACCAAGCACTGTTTTTATTCACAGAGGACCAACTGCCTTTCAAGGCTGCAGAATGTTAAGAGCTGTAGCAGAGTTACACAGCTAGTTGAATCAACAACTTTCTTTTACGGATGCAGCAGTGCAAACAAGGTATTTATTGGGCAATGGCCACCAGAGGAACTACCAATAACATTATACTGCTCCCTAGACACACCTCAGTTAGAGCACTTGCTTCTTTCACCAGGTGTTCTTTGCATTCCTGAAGGCTGGTACCATGGTGAAAAGGTGTTATCCAAACTTATTTTATACTTTCCCTCTTTATAAATGCGGGGTGTTTGCCATTTCTGTAGTGTGATAGAGTAGGATATGGGAAGGTCCCAGCTGTTAATGATACAATGGCACAGTGTCATTCCTCAATCAGAAGTTTAGCTTTAACACAGATGTGCAACCTATTACAATTAAACTTACAGCAGAATTTGGCCAGACCTTCTCAGCAGTTTGTCACAACTAGTCTTAGTGTGTGAAGCACAGAAAACATCTGGATATATGGGAACAAATTCAGAACATTATTTTCTTTTGGCAGCATATTTTTCTGCTGCTACTTGAGTTAATGATTTTCTACTAAGACATCTTCAGATACTGATGTTGATATATGTGTTCAGGAGAGATGGGCTAGCTGCTTGGTTTGAATCTTGAAAATGAAGTATCAAGACTGAAAACAACAGGAAAGTGCTCAATTTTGTATGCCTAAATATATTACAGAGAACAGGTAAGGAGGTGATATTTCTGAAGCAGCAGTGATCTAAACAATCACCTGTGAGTTAAGGCTTACAGGTTTTATGCTTCATTTTATGACTGACACCTGAATAAACTCTTTTTACACAAATAATCTCTTAAATAACGCTAATCATTACAGTCTTTATATAGTTTCTTCCTGAAACTTAATTCATTAATGTTCACGAAATACAATGATACAGATAAAATGTCTTAGGTATGTGAAAATTATAAGGGCTGCTACACCACAGTAATTCTACAGGGATCTTAAAAAAAAAAAAAAAAAAGAAACAAACTCTTGTATTTCATATAATACTTTTGTTCCTAAAACACTCCTAAGGCCAACTGAGGTAAAAGCAGATCTCAGATTTATTTACATTTATACAACGGCACCTACAGATAGATACGTGCACAGGAAGTAACAGCCATAATTCTGATTGTGCTAATTCTCCCCATTAAGAGAAGAAGATGAAAAGGAATAAAATGATGTTTGGCAATTTAAAAATGCTCACTCATGACTTTTATTTCCATCAAGAACAGTTCATTAGTGCAAACACTTGCAAATTAAGCAAGGTCACTGAGGCTCTCAATGGGGTGCTGAGCAAGACCAACACATTCAAGCCAGCATCAGTGGAGGCAGCTTTACTTTTACATGTAAAGTATCTAAAAAAGCAAGACACAGCTTTGCAGAGTGACTGCAGACCACAGAGATCACTGACATACTCTTCACTGCCTTTCAGCAGGCAGGACTCTTCTGTTATTTTATTTCTCACTGTCTCCTACATTCTCTACACTCTCCCACCTCAGTCCTGATGTAGGACTTTTCCTGAAAACAAAGTTGCTGAAGATGCTAAAAATTCAGAAAAGGAAATACTTTAATCTAATTTTCATTAAGAATGAGCAAAGCTTTGAGATGCGTATGGTGTAAGTAGCAGGAAAAATGTAACATTCGCTTTATATTATAGTTATTTAAGCAACAGAAGTTAGAACCCAGAAGAGAAGCATGTCTTGCAGATGGTAGCAATGGCACCCTAGAATTCCCCTTGAATATATTTATACATTTTCATAACCCCTTGTTCTATATATTCCCTTTCAAGCAGCTCGTAGGGAGTATGGAATTTTGTTCAGCGTAATATGAAGAACCTCTGTGTTATCTCTTCTTTTCTATTGTTGCTTTTTTTACCTCCAGATGTTCAATTACCTATGAGAGTACTCAAGGAAACATAGGTATGCTGTATTCTGTACTGAATCAGTTTAATTGAAAAAATAAAACATGATGTGTACTGTAAAGGAATTTTAAATGAACTCCCTAGCATATTCATGGTTAAACACAAAGGTTTTGTATTCTAGTAGGATATCACATAGTGTTGCTAACTGATTCCCACTAAGAAAACAGTGAATTTCATATCAAATCAGAGCATTGCAGGGAACCAAGCATACATCACAGGTTACTTGAAGAGGACAGCAGGCTGCACTGTCACCCACCGAGGCCCCATCTCCAATCATTTTATTCTTTCAGAGATGGTGAAGTTCTTACGCTCATGGAAACAGGGCACTTGCAAGAACAACCTGATCTTACACAATAACCCATCGTGCTTGATTGATGCTAAGCACTAGCAGGAACTACATGGCCATAAAATCTCTTCTATGGTAAGCACACATATGCATGTATAGGCACAGAGGAAGCTTATCTCAGCTCCTGGAGCTAATGCCACTGCCTTTGTTGTTCTGCTTACATAGCACAGAACTATGCTGATAAAGACTCAGATAGAACAGATGTAAATTTGATGGATGAAGTGCTGTTTTCTCTAATATCTAAATTGAAATGCTTACTTTTATTCCACATTTATTACATAGTCTTCTAGTACATGTTGGCAATAGGTTACCTCATCTTTCTAAATGGCTGTAAATAGCTGTCAGGTTCCCTGCAAACACAAGTCTTTGTGCACTGGTATTTTTGAAAGTAGGGTTACTATTGGCTGTTTTTAAACCTCAATAACTTAAGCATGGAGAGAAATCTGTTAGTGAAGCTCCTATACTGCAGAAAGCCTGAGAGGTTATACTACCAAAAGCATTATCAAATCCTAGTCCTACTTTTATATTGTTCCCTCACACATACTCTACTAGCCACTCAGAGAAAAAGGCTGAGTGAGGTAGTTCTTATCTCTGGATAAAGAAGGCTTTTCTCATGGACTTTCTTTATTCATAGTTACTAGAGCAGCCTTAAATCTGACTCCATAAAAAGCCAACCCAGGGCAACCTCCCCCCAGTAATGCCAGAGTAAGCAATTAAGCAATTAACACATGATTGTTTGCAGCTCTCAGCACGTGGTTGATACTAAAGCAGGCCATGGGTCTTAAAGAGAAGGACTTTTACAAGGAAGACTTCTTTCTCCCTGCAGTGCTAGTAAACAGCCTGAATGCTCAGCAGGTAATTGGCTTTAAAGGTCAAGAGGAAATCCTCCTTAGGCTTCCTGCTGCTGAGCAGCTTCCATTTGACCTTTGCTCTGAGGTACTCATAGCCTGTAGGGGCCAATGTGGCCAGCACTAGCCTTCTCAGCTGAATTCTGTGCTTTGGCTGTGGTATGCACACCTTTGGTGAGATTCCTCTGAGCTGCATATGCTTCTACAACGGCATCTGAAGTGGTGTTCTTGGTTAGGATTTGAGGTAAGCTAGGTGTGAAATCTCCTCTAAGTTGTAGGCTAGCATCACCAGCTGGCCAAGGGAAGGGATTGTTGCCTTCTGTGTTGGTGTGCACTCACCACAAGCTTTGTGTGTGGTTTTGGGCACCACAGTACAACAGGGCCATAAGGCTATGAGGGAGCATCTAAAGGAGGCCTACAAAGATGGTGCAGGGTTGGGAGGGCAAGATCTATAAGAATAGCTGAGGTCCTTTTGTTTGTTCAATCTGGAGCAGAGCACGCTGTAGACTTATGGTGGCTTATACCTCCTCACAAGGTGACAAGTGATGGTGACAGGAACCAAGGGAATGGTGCGGAGCTGTGTTGGGGGGGCTGGAGGGCTGGTTAGGTTGGGTTTTAGGGGAAGGCTCTTCAACAGAAGGTGGATGGGCTGATGGGCACTAGAACAGGCACCCCTAGGCAATGGGTATGGTGGATTGGGCTACAGGAGTTCTAGATGTGTTAGGACAACTCCCTCAGAAACTTTGGTTGTAGTTGTTTGGTTTTTTTTTTTTTTTTTTTTTGTAATGGTCTTGTGGGGAGCCAGGAATTGAACTGCCCTTCCACCTTGGGATTTCCATGGTCCTACAATTCTACAGATGTTGTGTGGTCCAACCTGCAGGCAGTCTCTTTACTATTGCAGTAATCATGGAAATGGAGGCACATGTGCTCTCCATGATGTGCATTTGAAGCATTCATCAGATCAGCAAACATGAGAAATAATATATGTGAGCCAAATCATAAGGGCTTTTCCCTTTCTTACCTGGGTTAAAGTCATAAAATTTCATGCTGAGAATGAACTCTTTCACTGTTAAACCGTGTGGAAAGGGCTTGTTGCAGGCTGTGTTGCTGGGATTTATTGATGCATTCAGATCTTTGTTTTTCCGGAAGTTTAGAAATAGTAAAAAATGGTATTACTGATGACAGTGGAAAGGCTTCCAGTAACTCAAGTGAGCTTTGGAATGGGCTTAATATTCTGGCTGAAGATGAAGTATCTTCTCATTTCCAACCCTAGCAGCCTCCTTTTTGTAACATTTGGTAATGCCAGAACTTACAGTAAAAATTATTCTTTGAGTCCTAGTGGAAGTAAGTTTGTTGGTTTTGGCTATGAATATCCATAGTATGGACTCTTTTCTCATTAACACTGACTTGTCACTCTTCACATTAAATTCTGCGTGGTGTTCTTACTACTTTCTTTACACTTTGATGCTGCAGTTGATTTTCTAGGGAATGTTTTTGGAATTTTTTTCTAGGGAATGTTACAGGAATTTTGTAATAGGTAAGTTTATGGTCCAAAAAAATACTCAAATGTTCTGTTGTATTACATGCATTTAACTGTATGTTTCCACCTGCATCCAAGTAAAACCTCGATGGAATTATTTAGCAAAACCATCTTGCAATTCCTGAGTAGTGTCTTGATGTATATATTACATAGACGAGCTTATTCAGGTCATCCAAAATACAGCAAAACTGTATAAAACATACAAGAATCAGAAGAAAAAGTGCATTTGAAACTCCTAACTTTCATTAACTTATAAAAATGTGGTTTTATTCTCAATAGAGTGATTCATTTGTTTATTTGCCCATCATTCTTTACTTTCAGAGATGCCTATCCAACTGCATCAAGTCTTCAAGAGAGAATTTTTGTTTACCCTTACATAACTTGGAGCTTTCTTCCCTTGTGTGATCTTGTGT